AACCTCATAAATTGGGGGCCATCTGCATTTTTCATTGAAGAGTTCATGATAAATTATTAGAAATAAGTACCAGATTAGAAAATATTAGATCTACCTTTTCATATTTATATATTATTTTCATATCAGATTTACAGATACAGAGATACCCAGAGTATACTATGAGGAAAACACAGTCACTTCTACAAATAGTGCTGTGAAAACTGGATATCCACACACAAAAATGTGAACCCTTATCTCACATTTTATACAAAAATGAACTCAATTGAATTAAAGATTTAAACCATACATCTGAAACTGAAATGGCTAAAAGAAAATATTGATCTGGGCAAAGACTTTTGGGTTGTGAACCCCAAAGCATAGGTAACAAAAGCAAGTATAGACAAGATAACAATAAACTAAAAAGCTCTGTACATCAAGGGAAACAATTAATAGAGTGAAGATACAGCCAGTGGAATGGGAGAAATGATAAAACATATATCAGATAAAATGCTAATAGACAACATATATTAAAAACACTCAAACATCTCAGTAGTTAACAAATAACCCAGTTCAAGATGACCAAAGAACCTGACTAGAAATTTCTTAAAGGAAGACCTACAGATGACTAATGGATACTGTATAAGAAAAGCTCTCGCTAATAATCAGCAAAATGTAAATTAAAACCACAATGAGATATCACTTCCCAGTAGTTAGAATGGTTATTACTAAAAAGATGAAAGGTAATCAGTGTTGATGAGAATGTGGAAAAAAGAGAACCTTGTACACTAATGTTGGGAATATTAATTGGCATGGTTATTATGGAAAACAGTATGAAGATTCCTCAATATTTGAAAATAGACTACCACTTCTGGGCATATATCCAAAGGGTATGAAATCAGTATGTTGAAGAGAAATCTGCAATCCCATGCTTTTTGCATCATTATTCACAGTAGCCAACATACGGAATCAACCTAAGTGTACATCAAGAAATGGTAACAAAAATGTAGAATTTTTGTATGCATGTACACACACAAGCCAAAGACTACCATTTACCTCTTAAAAATGTGATACTGTTATTAATGATGACATAGATGAACCTGGAGGACAACATGTAGTCAAAGGACACAAAATTTCAGTTCGATAGGAGAAATAAGTGTAGGAGATTTGTTGACTGTACAACATGGTGACAAATACCAATATATTATATACCTAAAAATTGCTAAGAAAGTAGATTTCAAGTGTTCTCACCACAAAAAGTGATAGGTATGTAATGTAATATGTATATTTGATAGTATTCTTAGCCATTCTACAGCATATATATATGAAAATATCATGTTGTACATCATAAATTTATACAATTTTTACTTATCAATTGTTACATAATCCATTACAAAGAAAATAACCTGAGTTGCTTTTTTCTTCTCCAGCACTACTTCTGTTACCTTTCCATATTCAACTATAAGCGTTTTTTAACCTGGGGGAGGGCTCTAGGACAACAAGGGGTCAGTGGTAGAATTTATGTTGTCCTTGAAGAAAGATTTAATCTTTATTTTCTTTAATCTTATAGTGAAATTGTAATTTTAATTATAAATATAGGCAAAAAAAATTTAGACTTGTGAATTCATCACCTACAGAAATCACAGCTATTTTCAAAACACATTCCAGTTATTGAAGATATTTCAAAAATAGTTTATATGCAATATTAACTTGAAATTAGACTTCCCATTACTTCTTTTTATTTAATGCATTCATGAAGAACATTTACTACTGTATTAAAATATATTTTAAAATATCTTGATAACATAAATTTCCTTTTTTTTGTCATTTAAAAGGATTTGGCAAGGGGTTCTTTATTAATCACCTATTGGTATATAACACATTCACTGAAACTTAGTGGTTTAAAACTATAAACAATGTCTCATAAATTCTTCTATCAGAAATTTGGAACACCTTCATAGGATGGTTTTGATTTGAGGTATTTTGTGAAATTATAATGAAGATGGCTCAGGCCACCATCATCTGGAGCTTGGGAGATGCTGGAGCGCTGCACTGAGTCCATGTCTAAGGCAGCTCATTCGTGTGGTTAGCAGGGCTGTGGCATTTAATGGGGCTCAGCTTTTCCCTGTGAAGCATCTCCACAAGCTACTCTGCAACCTGGCAGTGGGCTCTAGAATACACACTGCATGTTGGAACTGATTTTCAGGCAACTTAAAGAAATTCAAGAGCAGGGCTAGGGATTTAGCTTAGTGCTTCCAGTGCCTGCCTTGCAAACGCAAGGACCTGAGTTCTATCCCCAGTACCAAAAAGCAAACAAATTTAAGAGCAAAATTTTGTTTCTCATTTAATAAGTAAAAAATACTACATGAAGCCTTAATATGAATGAAAATATTGTGTACGTGATTATTTACTTTTTTAAATGTACAGAAAATCACTCATAACCATTTTGGGAGGGAAACGTAGGCCCTCTCAACATTTCTGTAGACTACCAGGGCATTCGGTCTTATTCTCATGACCCCTTGCCATGAATTATGTTTGTTTTGGAGTCTTACTTGCACTTATTTTCCTTGACTTCTGTCTTTTCATGACTCTGTCCTATGACAATTGGAATAGGTAAAATGAGCCCTTCAACCACTTCTCCCTCCCTATTTACAAAGACTTTGTTTCCGTATTTTACTGTTTTCATATTTATTCTTTCTCTAGGAAATTTATGTAATTCTTTTGTAAGGAAAAAAAGCAAATTAGCCCATCCCATTGACTAAATTCCAGAGCTGTTCTTAAGGATTTTTAAATCTTCATAATTCTTCATAAACACAGTAAAATTTCAACTGTACCAAATACATGAGTTTTTTCAGGAATTTAATTTAGGATAAATGATCATTGTATCTGGAGACTATTTTTCATAGATTCTTTACAATTTTACTATTGTAGTCTCAGTTTCTCATTTATTTATTTTTTAAGCTGGAGTCTCACTAAATTCTGTAAGCAGGCCTCAAGTTTGCCATCCCCCTGTCTCAGCCTCCTGAAAGTCAGAGATTACTGTATAGGTATGCACCCCATTCTTTCACTTTTGATAAGCAAAGTCTTAAACAATAACAATCAAGTAAAGGGCAAAATCACTTACATCTGGAAAAGGCATGAGAATTTCCATACACAGTAGTTAGGTTTGCTTGAGGGACACTTGAGGGTGTTTACTTGATCAATAGATATGTGCTGGGAGCTGTGTTAGATTCTGGGAATGCGGAGGTGCACAAAACAAATTCTAACCCTCCTGGATCTTACAGTCACCAGTACAAGCAATGTACAATGTGTTTCATCTGTAATCCTGCTGGAAGATTTCCAATAATGAGGAGTTCCTTCTGCTGCTTTGTAATGTTGTTAATTATTTTATCAGTGCATTTTCATTTTAAAAGATAAGCAATATTATTAATTCATATAAATTATTTTTGGTACTGATCCGAATTTGTGCTTCTTGATTTACAAATATGAATCTTCGTTTTGCTTTGGAATAAATCTCCTGCAACAACTTCTGCCCTTCCCTTCCTTTGTGGGATGGCTCTTCAGGGAGTGCCTTTCAAGTAGGCTGAGAAAACTATTATGTGGCTGTGAGGCTTCTCTGGTCATTGCTTCCTGACATGGTTTTTAAATCATATACCATCCTGATTGCTTTCCCCTGGACGCTTTCTACTTTGTCACTCTTTGTTGTTAAAAATAAATTACTCCCAATTTCCTGCTTTCAATAGAGTAGAGAGAACATAATTGACTCTTTGATGTGTGAGGGTCTGGTTTGGTCTGAAAGCAATTACACTGACCTTGAATTCTACTGTACTGTAAATATCATTACAGAAAAAGTAGGAGCTCAGATTTTTTGAAAATGAGTTTATTTTCTTTTTACTTATTTCTTGTTAGTGAAGTGTACTTTATAAGGTAACAAATGTGAAAAATGAAACATTATTCATTTTGGAATTCATCATGAAGATAATCTTTTTTCTCCAGTAGACCATGAACTTCCTGAGAGCAAAGATTATGTTTAATTCATTTTTAAAATCTCTATACTTAGTGCAGTTACACTCACACACCCACACACACACACACACACACACTTGCACATGCAGATGCCCAATGAATATTTGGTAACCAATTAATGTCTCACCCATAAAAAAGTACGATTTTCTAAAATGAAATGGATTCCAGTTTTTAGAGGACACTGAATAATCAGTAATACAGAATTGGGTCTAAATGTTATCCTAACTTCAATTTATGTTATAATTTATCCTAACTTACAACATTGGTATATTAGTTAATAATATCCACAAAGGAAAATACCAGTGTGTTGGGTGGTAATTATTTCAACTCTAAGTGAGAGAAAAACCAAATAGCAATGGCACAAATATAAGAATGTTGTTACATATTTCAAAAGTCTGGAGAAACTGATCTTGGATCTATTCGACCAACTCAGTGTTATCTACAAGCTGCCAGGCTCTTTCTATCTTAAATGTCACCATTCTTAGAGCGTTGACCTATTGATCTTAGGCTTGTTGCCTTATGGTCACAAGGTGCTCCAGTTATCAAAACTGGATCCAGAGAAATGAGCTTAGGGATAGCCTCAGCTCTGCGAACAAATCTCTTCAGGAAACATTTTTTTCCAGAAATCTTTTGCCTATATCTAACTGGCCTAAGTTGGATCATGTGGCTGTTGCTAGGAGGTAGCCAAAGGAGGTCTGTTGATTCAACAACAGTTTATGCCACAAGCAGAAAATAGAAGTATAGTACAAAAAAAGAGGGCAAGGCCTTTATTAGTTCAGTAATAAATTCAAGGAGATCAAATTACAAGAATTCTTTGAGAAGTATCATTGGTGATACTGGGATTAAGCAATGGTGTAACTTATTCAGACAGATGAATCATCAGCTTCCAAATCACTTTTGGAAGCAGTGGTTAACCTGATTATCTCTTCTAGTTTTCATAGCTCACACAAAGCTGTACTTTTATTACAGAGTTGTTTTTATTTTTTTCTCCCTTCCAGGAGTCTTATCCAAAGAAGAGGAACTACACTATGGAAATTGTACCATCTGCTTCTCTGGATACATTTCCTTCAGAAAACGAGAACTTTCTATGTGATCTTATGGATACAGCTGTTACGAAGAAACCTTGCTCTTTAGAAATTGCAAGGGCACCTTCCCCAAGAGCTGGTAATACTCTTTACTCACAGTTGGACCAATTGGGTCTGCGTGCTAGAACAAGTGAGGATGCATATTGATTTCCCAGTGTATTGTCATCATGAAAGTGTTTCAATGTAGTCTCAGGCATTACTTTTGCATTTTTAAATAAGTATAGCTAAGTCAAAGTTTTGATGTGAAACCTCTTAACTGGTAAGAACGTTTCATGGGGATAATTCTGCCTTGAAGAAGACACTTGAAACCTTTTAATCATGCAAAACATGCTAGGTCAGATATAAAGCTTTGGGTCCTTAGGGTTTCCTAGCTGATTTAGTAGCAAAAGTATTTTTATACACCTTTAGCATCCTATTACCAGCTTACCTGAGTGTACTTAGTTTCTTAGAACATTTTGTGTCTTTTGTGACATTTTAAGATCCGTTATTTTACTCATTCACATTAAAATTGGTGAATAAGATAAGGCAAATATTATTTCCATTTTACTGCCAGGGAAATTAGAGCTGTGCCTTATTTAAGATCGGTAAGTAGTGAGACCTATGTTTGAACATGGATTTGTTTGTTTTCTGTCCTTTTACCAATACCTTTAAAAATGAATGCAGCATAATTATGTGAAGGCCGATAAAAAAACAGCTTCCAGTAGATGGTCAATACATTCAGTGGTAGAAAGAGTTGTAGGAAAAGTTTGGAAGAGAAACTTGCATTTGTTTTTCTGGCAGTCCAATTGATGCTTACTTTGAAACAGTAAATTTCACAAGTGATATGGTAAAACCAGACCCATGGAAGCAAATAATGAGACACTGGGAAATGGGAAATAAGGAACTGGGAGTGGAGAATACATGTTACTCTTTCAAGGTTAGGAGAGGTATGATAGTGGCATAAGAGGAAAGTAGGTAAGAGAGGAAAGGCTAAGTTTATTTTAGGATAAGTAAGACTTGGTTGAGTTGGAGGGTGGAGGATTAATCTGGTGTAGCAAGATGTCGAAGATAAAAAAAAATGCAAAGAAAATGGAATGGGTAGAAGCTAAGCTGGTCCAAGAAAAACATAGACATTGCTGGGCGAGAATGGGAGGGTAATCATGGTTGTAAACATAAAGCAATTCTGAAATATGTCTCTCCAAATGGATTCAATTTCTGGATAGCATAAAAGAAGCAAGAAAACAGAGGTATGGAGGAGTGAACCATATTCTCCCCTTAGAGATCTGACATTTGGATAAAAGTAGACAAAGGAAGAAAGAATTACATCTCAGGGAATACATTCTGTAACTTTAGGTTAACTGTTGACTAGCATGGCTTAGGCTTACAAAGTGGTAATTCTCTACACAGGAATCGCATTCAGAAGCTTTCTGAAGGACACACACACACACACACACACACACACACACAGATACAGACTATGGAAAAGATGATCGGGAATTAAGGAGAACTGTTCTGAGTTGAATTGTTGCCCTCACTCACACAAAAAAGAGAAAATCTGGCATCCGTCATGGCTTGTGTTTAGATGCTCCCCTCCCCAAAGCCTCACGCAGTCACAGGTGGGGCTTTTTCAGGGGTGGCTGGATCTGGGGTGTGACACTGGGATTGATTCATGGTGCAGTGCTAGACCTAAGGGCACCAGGATTAAGGGTGAGAGTGCTGCTTTCCCTGAGTAGTCTGGATGAGATAAAAGGGGCAGAAAGAGGCTGTGAAGCTCCCTTGTTGCTTTGCTACCTTCTGGCTGCCATGAACTGTTTTCTGCGGTGCCCCCTGCCTTGGAGCCAGCGGATGATGAACTGAAACCTCCACAAACTGTGAGCTACATAAACTTTTCCTCCTTTAACTCAGGCTGTCGGGTATTTTGTCTCAGCAATGAGAGAAAAGTAACTAAGACAGCATTGTTACCCAATACCTCAGAATGTGACCTTAGTCACAGAATTTAAAGACAGTCTTTATAGAAGTAATCAAATTAAAATAAAGCCCCTAAGACCCTAATTCAACATGAACATTGTTCTCCTGAGAGGGAAATTTAATGACAGACACCCACAGAGGGAGGACAGGAGGAGACCATGGCCTAGAGCAGTTCTTGCCTCACAGCCCTCAGAAGGTACCTTGATTTGGGACGTCCGGCTTGCAGAACTAAGGAGATAAATTTCTGTGGCTGACTGCTGGCATGCTGTTAGAAGTACTTTGTTAGCCTGGGAGTCCTGGCTGTGGCTGGCAATATATGTATCTTTTCAGTCACAGTGAAATGTGCACGTTAGTACTCTTTCTGTGGCCGCTTCTTGTGTTTATTAACCAAATGAACTAGTATAAAATACATCTCATCCTAACGTGAGGGAAAAGTGATCATATGTACTATTTAAATCTAAAAGTGAATTATTTTTATATCTGTAGTCAGCAAAATTACAATAACCAAAAAATGCTTTTAAGTATTTTAGTAGTGCTTCAGTGAGTACGGATCTCAATGAAATAAAAAACGATACTGCTCTAAGTCCTGGATTCCTTGAATAAAGATAAACAGTAGTCCAGTGTTGGCTTGCTACATGCTCTGAGAACTCATGCTCATGCAGCTGATACCAACATGAAATCCTTTGTTTCCCTTGTAGCATTAAGCAAGGGGCCATATGTGATAATGGCAGTGACTCAGTTACATAAATGAATGAGTAATTAAATGAATGAATGAATGATCCTTAAAATAAAATGGCTGTAATGACAGAAAAAGCCTTTGTGAAGTAGTCAGATGCCATCAAGGATAATGTTTTATTATCTGCCTTTCATTTAATTTTACCCTTCACAGGGGAATTTTTCCATTTTATGGTAACTAAGCAACCTGATATTTGGAATCACTTAGTGCAGGCTTTTGCACAGTATGGACGCTTGATAAATCCGTTTTGATTAATGGCCAATTTATAACAACATCAGCAAAGACTGTTTCCGATCCTGTGGAAACAGAATGGATGATCCCTGATAAAAAGGACACGCTCCATGGCTCCCCGTCCGGGTCGCGGTTTCCTATGCTCAGTTTGCTAGTGTGCTTACTGGACTGTACGCACCCAGCATGGAGCTATCACTCGGTGAATAACTCTCCATACCCTGCCACCCCTCCCCTGACATCTAAAGTAGGTCGGAGGGTGAGGGTGATTCTATAACTGATTTATGCCTAAATATTTTTGAAATAGTAAAATTCTCTCGATTCTAATGCCAACATTTTGAAATTAAAAGAATTCCAACTGGACTAAGATGTTTATCTCTGCTAAACAAGTGAGCAGTGTTAACATCATTTCTGTGGGTATGTTTGACTCATTTAAAGAGCAAACTACTTGCAAGGCTCTTGGAAGCATTTTTTAAAATACAAATATAGGCCTTTCTGATAAGGGCCATTTTTATCAAACAGCAATTATTTATTTGGCATTGGCTCTTTGCTAGCTGCTGTCTTAGCCATTTATTAAAACACATTGGTAACACGGAGCTGGGTTATGGCAGGACACAGAGAGAAAAGGATAGAAGTATCTGCAGTGAAAACCTCAAGCATTAACTGCCTCCTTCATTCATGCGCACAGATCCCCAGTTGGGATTTCAAACTGCTCAAATCGGTGGTAGCTTGCTAGGTTTGGAAAACAACTTTCTAAACAGAAGGAAAATTCTACTTTTTCCACCTCAACTCATTTTCATTTGTGCTGTGTACAAATTAACATGAATTGTTAAAAATACAACAAACTTTTGCTAAGTTTATGTTTTTGTTTTGTTTTGTTTTGTTTTTTGACCAGGAATTGAACTCAGGTCCTTGCACTTGAAAGGCAGGCAGCAGAACCACTGAGCTAAATCCCCGGCCCGTGCTAAGTTTATAATGTGGGAACGTGGATCTTTCATGATATGTGTGATATCTTACAGAACATAATTTGTCCTATAATGTGAGAGCATACATGACCAGACAAACACTCATGGGTTCATAAATTGATGCTCATCAAATTCAAGCAGACCTCTGTATTGCTTTACAGTCTATTCTTTGTCTGCTTTACAGCTTTTAAACCTCAGGTACCTTTCCTACCTTCTAGCCTCCTCTCAGCAGGTGACCTCATACTTACAGAAGCCATCAGATGGATCTTTGTTAGCTTTTTCCATGAAGTGTATGGACACAATTGCCTCTGCACCCTTTCTTTGGATGACCTTCCTGTTAAAATAGATGGGGCTTTCCTCTTCCAGTCCAAGATTGGCTCATTGCTCTACGCCCCATGCTTCTGCCTTCTTAGGAATTGGATCTTTTATTTATTCTTACTCTTATTCCTTCCTGTTTGTTTTCTTTTCTATTGGATTGGGGACATCAACATTTCAATCTGTTCAAATATTTTTCATTTGAAAAACAATAACAGACAAAAAATAGCTAACAATAAAAGTGAAGGCTAAATAACAAATCAAAGTCCCTTGATCCCACTTGACTGACCACACAGCTACCATTGTTTTTATCGCATGCTCTCCCTGGATTTTCTTCCTTCCTTTCACTTCTCAGCCCACCTTAGTCAGCATTTCAGTCCTGCTAAACCCTTGAACTCTAATTTCCAAACAGAACAAGGACCTTTGATGTTATGAATGCTAGAAGGACATTTCTCAATCCTCAGTTTTCTGTACCTTTCTCCAGCACAAGCTGGTGATACCTCCATCATGATACCTTTCTTCCTTTTGCTGTCCAAGGCATATTTCTATCTAAGTATTTTTGCTGTCTGTTTTGACAGATACATTCCTCTGCATAACTCTGAAATTTGGTAATTAAGCCTCCAACAAAATTTGCCCATGATTTTTAATATTCTGTCTTCCTAAGTGACCTCATCCATTGTATAGTTTCTGTTATGATCAGTGTGCTGAAGAATCACAAATCTTTACCTCCAATTTGAGCTATTTCTTAATTTCCAGTCCATCCATCCACCCATCCATCCATCCGTGCATCTACTGAATATTTCCACTTGTATTTTTCAAAGGTATCTCAACATTATTATATACAAAACCAGACTCTCTTGTCTTTCCCTCTGAAGCTGTTCTTTATTC